ATTGGGAATGCATCGGACGAGGGAGTGGGGAATGGTGGGGAGGACGAGGGGAGGGGGAAATGATGGGGAGGACTGGGAGACAGGGGGGGAGGGTTGCTGAGCCACAGCAACACACACGCGTTGCTGAGCCACAGCAACACACACGCGTTGCTGAGCCACAGCAACGCGTGGCCAGGTACAGCTAGTAATACTAATAATAATCTAACCTAACCTAGCGAAAATATGGTAATATGTTGTGTTATATATATATGTGTGGAGGAGGCGTGTGACTATGGCGTCATGGTGTTGAGGCTGGCACCTAGCGCCCGCACGGGGGCCGGGCAGAGGGGAAGTATTTCCTGTGTCAGTGGTTCGGGGCGGACCCGTTGGTGGCGGCGGCCTGCTGCCACCATTGTTGACCTTGCCTGCGTGATGGTGGGTGGGTGGGTGGGCGGGCGGTGGGGGTGGAATAGTAACGTGGGTTCCATGTTTGCGTGTTCTTGCGGAGTGACTGTTTGAATGAGTATTAATTAGTACTGCGTGGATTGTGTGTGTGTGCTCACCTAGTTGTGCTTGCGGGGGGGTTGAGCTCTGGCTTTTTGGTCCCGCCTCTCAACCGTCAATCAACTGGTGTACAGGTTCCTGAGCCTATTGGGCTCTATCATATCTACATTATAAACTGTGTATGGAGTCAGCCTCCACCACATCACTGCTTAATGCATTCCACCTGTTACAATAGGCCCTTTGCAGTTACTTCCATTCTTCACTTTAACTTACCCAATATTATACTCATTGTTTCGTGTTCTGTCTTGTGTTGAAAGTTTGTTAACTACTCTGACACTGAAAAAGATATTTCTAACGTCCCTGTGGTTCATGTGGGTACCCACCTGTGTGTTTACTAGTTGTGTTTTTGCGGGGGTTGAGCTTTGCTCTTTCGGCCCGCCTCTCAACTGTCAATCAACTGTTTACTAACTACTAACTTACTAACTACTTTTTTTTTCCCACACCACACACACACACCCCAGGAAGCAGCCCGTGACAGCTGACTAACTCCCAGGTACCTATTTACTGCTAGGTAACAGGGGCACTTAGGGTGAAAGAAACTTTGCCCATTTGTTTCTGCCTCGTGCGGGAATCGAACCCGCGCCACAGAATTAAGAGTCCTGCGCACTATCCACCAGGCTACGAGGCCCCTAAGATCAATCTTAGGGGCATTCCTAATTGTGTCCCCTTGTTCGCGTACCACCAGTGTTGAAAAATCCATCCTTGTCTACTCTGTCAATTCCCCTGAGGATTTTGTAGGTAGTGATCATGTCTCCCCTCACTCTTCTGTCGTCCAGTGTCGTAAGGTGCATTTCGCGCATCCTTTCTTCGTAACTCATGCCTCTTAGTTCTGGGACTAGTCTAGTGGCATACTTCTGAACTTTTTCCAGCTTCGTCTTGTGCTTGACAAGATACGGGCTCCATGCTGGGGCCGCTTACTCCAGAATGAACACATCCACAAGGGCCGTGACGATGATTCGAACCTGCGTCCGGGAGCATCCCAGACACTGCCTTAATCAACTGAGCTACGACAGGGTAAAAGGTGATCTCAGTGTGTGATGATATAAGGGCGAAGAGGGAGAACGGCCTATTGACATAGCTCGGGTGCAGGGGGGGGGGGGGGTTGTGTAAAAGCCTGGTTTGTGCCTCGGAGAGGCTACGGGATCCAGTAAGTTCAGTAGAACTTCGGTTTCAACCCTTTTACCCTGTCGTAGCTCAGTCCAACCCGTCCTCGACTCAACCTCCATTACATTCAGCGGTCAACCCCACAGACGCATTCATATATTTTAACATGCTGTTCATTCAAAACGGGAATTTTCTCAAGTATAAATTAATATTATAATATATTAGCATATTGTGTATATATAGGCACAGGTTAGGTTAGGTGTTTAGGTTCTGTAATGATCTGGGGCTCAGATCATTGGTTCTCCCTTCTCCCCTCTTTTCCCTCCCCTTCTCCCCTCCTTTCCTTCTCCCTCTCCCCTCCTTCCTTCTCCCCTCCCCTTGGCCGTCATTCGTCTCCTCCTCTTCCCCCCCCCCTGTCGCCCATTTGTCAGGGTCAAGAGGTTGACCTGAGGGTAGGGTGGTCGTGGATACCTTGGCTTCTCCCACTCAACTTCCCCACTCAGATATTTCCCTCTCCACCCCCTCTCATCCCTCTCTGTATGATCTGGGGCTCAGATCATTGGTTCTCCCTTCTCCCCTCTTTTCCCTCCCCTTCTCCCCTCCTTTCCTTCTCCCTCTCCCCTCCTTCCTTCTCCCCTCCCCTTGGCCGTCATTCGTCTCCTCCTCTTCCCCCCCCCCTGTCGCCCATTTGTCAGGGTCAAGAGGTTGACCTGAGGGTAGGGTGGTCGTGGATACCTTGGCTTCTCCCACTCAACTTCCCCACTCAGATATTTCCCTCTCCACCCCCTCTCATCCCTCTCTGTCCCTCTCAGCAGCGGCCTTCCCCATACCAGGCAGAGTCAAATGTCCCTACTCCTATCTTAGAGGAGACAGGCTTGAACATAAATTATCAGTTTTGTAAACATTGCTCGCAGGTGTCTGGGCTCCATAGACGCGCCTTGTCCCCCTTCTCTAGCTGGGGAGAGCTGACTCAATCTTCAGAAATTCATGTAGCTTTCCACGACAGATCAGTGAAGGTGATTGGCCTGAGATAAGGGCCAAGTCCTTATTGGCCCTAGAGAGCCAGACCTCAGGCCTACGTGTTAAATGGTTGGCCAGGGCCAAAATAATGGGTGGAGCCCTGGGGCTGTATTAGATGGTGGGAGGAGTAATCCTTCCCAGCAATAAGTTGGAAAAACTAAATTTCATCAGTGTGTCTTGGGAGTGTATTAGGAACAGGGCCGCAAGCCCGTATCCTCGGGGCTGAGGGCAGCCATCAACATCGTGGCCGTAGTGCGGGTATTTAAGGTATAGTGCACTTGAGTTTTGTGTCCTCGGTAAATATCCATTGTGCCTCTAGGGAAATAGAATAGGTTATGTGTTCAAATTGTCTTAATTTACATGTTTCATAAAATAAATTGTATAGCTTGTCCAGTGGTATTCACTTAACTCCCCTTTGATATATTTTGCTACTTTGTCATTTTTAGGTGTTGTATTGGAAGCCCCCATGTTCTCCTACTATTAATAGATACTAAAGTTGCCCTTGGATTCAAATAAGTAACGTAAATTACACAAACTAATTTTCCAAAATTTATTTCTGAAATTCATATTACCCGGAGTCCCATGGTTACTGATTCCTTGCCTTCCTGGGGGATCGGTGATTGACACATTCAGGTATGGTTGGTCAGGAAGGTGGTGGCAGTGTAAATGTGTTTTGTTATTGTTTTTTTTAACTAATAACCCTTGTCCTTGGTGTATCTTCCTCATTTAATATTCCTCTTACATACGTGGCCGTCCAGTGAGGGGTCATACTGGACTGTAACAGTGTTAAGCTGGGGTATTGAGTGAAGAGAGACAGAGATGTACAACAGAGAGCGTATATTACGATCACGAGAGATAACAAGATAACAGGATTAATACTGGGGAACATTGGGTTATTACAATAGAGGCCGCGGTTATTACGGCAGGGTAAGCGGTCGTTACACTCTGTGTGCGCATGCTCCAGGATTGGTCTTACATATGTGGTATACAAGATTCTGAATGCTTCCTTACACAGGTTCCTGAAGGCAGTTCTGATGTTAGCCAGCCTCGCATATGCCGCAGACGTTATTCTTTTGATGTAGGCTTCAGGAGACAGGTTTGGAGACAGGGCATGTGTGTGTGTGGTGTGTGTGCGCGCGCGCGCGTGTATATACTGTGCATACAGGGACAATAGCGGTGTGGGCGGGGTAGACAGTAGCGGTGTGGGCGGGGTAGACAGTAGCGGTGTGGGTGGGGGGTAGACAATAGCGGTGTGGGTGGGGGGTAGACAGTAGCGGTGTGGGTGGGGGGTAGACAGTAGCGGTGTGGGTGGGGGGTAGACAGTAGCGGTGTGGGTGGGGGGGTAGACAGTAGCGGTGTGGGTGGGGGGTAGACAGTAGCGGTGTGGGTGGGGGGTAGACAGTAGCGGTCTGGGTGGGGGGTAGACAGTAGCGGTGTGGGTGGGGGGTAGACAGTAGCGGTGTGGGTGGGGGGTAGACAGTAGCGGTGTGAGTGGGGTGTAGACAGTAGGGGTGTGGGTGGTGGTAGATAGTAGAGGTGTGGGTGGGGGGTAGACAGTAGGGGTGTGGGTGGTGGTAGATAGTAGAGGTGTGGGTGGGGGGTAGACAGTAGGGGGTGTGGGTGGGGGGTAGACAGTAGGGGGTGTGGGTGGGGGGTAGACAGTAGAGGGTGTGGGTGGGGGGTAGACAGTAGAGGGTGTGGGTGGGGGGTAGACAGTAGAGGGTGTGGGTGGGGGGTAGACAGTAGGGGGTGTGGGTGGGGGGTAGACAGTAGGGGGTGTGGGTGGGGGGTAGACAGTAGGGGGTGTGGGTGGGGGGTAGACAGTAGGGGGTGTGGGTGGGGGTAGACAGTAGGGGGTGTGGGTGGGGGGTAGACAGTAGGGGGTGTGGGTGGGGGTAGACAGTAGCGGTGTGGGTGGGGGGTAGACAGTAGCGGTGTGGGTGGGGGGTAGACAGTAGGGGTGTGGGTGGGGGGTAGACAGTAGGGGTGTGGGGGGTAGACAGTAGGGGTGTGGGTGGGGGGTAGACAGTAGGGGTGTGGGCGCCCCAAGAAGGGGGTAGAGAGTGTGGTAGACGGCGCGTCCTTCACCACAGGTGGGCCTGTGGTGGGTGGCCGCCGCCAGCCTCCACCACAATGCCCCCAACACCCTGCCCACATACCCACCACACCTCCCCACCTGCCAATCACGCCCGGGATGCATGATGAAGAGCGTTGATGAGTAGTGAGGTGGTGAGGAGCATGTGTGTGTGTGTGTGTGTGTGAGGTTTGCGTGTGCGTGCGTGTGGGCGTGTGGCGGCGGCGGCGGCGGCGGCGTGGGGACGACTGGTCGCTGCCCGCCGCCGCCACCGTCAGTGTGCGTCTAGCAGTCAGTGGGGGAGGATGTGCGCGATGCCCCGCTGGCCACCTCTCTTAGCCCTTCCGCTCCTCCTCCTGGTGGCGGTGGCGGGGGCGGCCGGGGAGACGAACGCCTACTTCGCCGACTGGGGCGTGATCGGCGGGCGGCCGCAGGAGCCCACCTGCGTCGACATACCCCAGAACATGCCCCTCTGCTCTGGCATCGACTACGACAAGATGCGGCTGCCCAACCTGCTGGAGCACGACACCTTGAAGGAGGCGCAGCAGCAGGCGGGCTACTGGGTGCCGCTGCTCAACCTCCGCTGCCACCCCAACACCCAGCTCTTCCTGTGCTCGCTCTTCACGCCCGTGTGCCTCGAGAGCCCCATCTACCCGTGCCGCAGCCTGTGCGAGGCCGTCCGCAGCGGGTGCGAGCGCCGCATGCAGACCTACAGCTTCCCCTGGCCCGAGATGCTCAGCTGCGACAAGTTCCCCTTGGACAATGATATGTGTATCACTGTGCAGCACAGCGCCGCCCCTGGCCCAGGTCAGTCCTCTCACTGTACACTCTCACTGTGCAGCACAGCGCCGCCCCTGGCCCAGGTCAGTCACTACACTACACGCTCTCACTGTGACACTACACGCTCTCACTATGACACTCTCACTACACACTCTCACTGTGCAGCACAGCGCCGCCCCTGGCCCAGGTCAGTCCTCTCACTGTGCAGCACAGCGCCGCCCCTGGCCCAGGTCAGTCCCTACACTACACTACACGCTCTCACTGTGACACTACACGCTCTCACTGTGACACTACACGCTCTCACTGTGACACTACACGCTCTCACTGTGACACTACACGCTCTCACTGTGACACTACACGCTCTCACTGTGACACTACACGCTCTCACTGTGACACTACACGCTCTCACTGTGACACTACACGCTCTCACTGTGACACTACACGCTCTCACTGTGACACTACACGCTCTCACTGTGACACTACACGCTCTCACTACGACACTACACGCTCTCACTACGACACTACAACACTACACGCTCTCACTACAACACTAGACGCTCTCACTACAACACTAGACGCTCTCACTACACCACTACAACACTAGACGCTCTCACTACAACACTAGACGCTCTCACTACAACACTAGACGCTCTCACTACGACACTAGACGCTCTCTCTACGACACTAGACGCTCTCTCTACGACACTACACGCTCTCACTACAACACTAGACGCTCTCTCTACGACACTACACGCTCTCACTACAACACTACACGCTCTCACTACAACACTACACGCTCTCACTACAACACTAGACGCTCTCACTACAACACTAGACGCTCTCACTACAACACTACACGCTCTCACTACAACACTACACGCTCTCAAAACAACACCCACTCACTACAACACCCGCTCTCACAATTTATAACCTGCAGCTACGTGTGTGTGTGTGTCATCAGCGGTTTGATAGTTATGATTGTACTCGATACCCTGGTCACTCACGTGCCTGAGTATGGCTAATGGAATTCACGTGCAGAGCAGGGTTACGGGGCATCACGTGCTGAGCAACACGTACCACCACGTACTCTCCCTCAATAAGAAAGGAAGAGTACTCTTGCTCCGAGGCATGCACTTGTAGGCGGGACCAAAGAGCCGAAGCTCGACCCCTCGCAAGCTTACGGGAATGCGCTAATCACCCGTCAGAAAAGTGGTTTATATAACTAGTTGTGTAGGTATCTCACGCCGTGAGAAAGTGTGGTTGTTCCTCCAACTACCAGGACCAGACTTGTCTACTGCCGTCTGGCCCTAAATGGGCAATGGTATCCGGCCGGCTGTCTGCCGAGGCCTGCGGCCGGATAAAATATGAACTAATAACCGTTGGGGCTTATCGTGGTGTAAATTTCTACGATGCTTCACCACATTGCTTGAATAAATATGAGCTTATGTGCCATTTTAGGGATAATAAGATTCAGTTGAAGTTTTTTCTCCGTTTCTAGTGTTTATTTTGTTTGTTAAAAGTGGAAATTTGTATTTTGTAAACAGTTGTAGTGATAGCCTACCATTTTGCTCACCGCCAAGTGCATAGTCTAGTACTCTCATGGGAACTCACAACCAGATAGCATAATTTAGAACTCTGCTAAGGGCTTATAGCCAGGAAGCGTAGCCTAGCATTTTGTTAGTGACTCTCAGCCAAGCTGCATAGCTCAGCACTTTACTGGAAACTCACAGCCAAGCATTTTGGTCGAGGGGTCAGAGGCTGGTTGTGCAGCGAGGAGAGGTCTGTCGACCACCCTATTACATGTTGCCGCGGGGGGCGCAGACATGCCCGTACAGACCTCGCCACCAGACACTGCCAACAGACGTGCCCGTACAGACCTCGCCACCAGACACTGCCAACAGACCTCGCCACCAGACACTGCCAACAGACATGCCCGTACAGACCTCGCCACCAGACACTGCCAACAGACGTGCCCGTACAGACCTCGCCAGCAGACACTGCCAACAGACATGCCCGTACAGACCTCGCCACCAGACACTGCCAACAGACGTGCCCGTACAGACCTCGCCAGCAGACACTGCCAACAGACGTGCCCGTACAGACCTCGCCAGCAGACACTGCCAACAGACATGCCCGTATAGACCTCGCCAGCAGACACTGCCAACAGACGTGCCCGTACAGACCTCGCCAGCAGACACTGCCAACAGACGTGCCCGTACAGACCTCGCCAGCAGACACTGCCAACAGACGTGCCCGTACAGACCTCGCCACCAGACACTGCCAACAGACCTCGCCACCAGACACTGCCAACAGACATGCCCGTACAGACCTCGCCAGCAGACACTGCCAACAGACGCCAGCAGACACTGCCAACGTACAGACCTCGCCAGCAGACACTGCCAACAGACATGCCCGTACAGACCTCGCCAGCAGACACTGCCAACAGACGTGCCCGTACAGACCTCGCCAGCACACTGCCAACAGACGTGCCCGTACAGACCTCGCCAGCAGACACTGCCAACAGACGTGCCCGTACAGACCTCGCCAGCAGACACTGCCAACAGACGTGCCCGTACAGACCTCGCCAGCAGACACTGCCAACAGACATGCCCGTACAGACCTCGCCAGCAGACACTGCCAACAGACGTGCCCGTACAGACCTCGCCAGCAGACACTGCCAACAGACGTGCCCGTACAGACCTCGCCAGCAGACACTGCCAACAGACATGCCCGTACAGACCTCGCCAGCAGACACTGCCAACAGACATGCCCGTACAGACCTCGCCAGCAGACACTGCCAACAGACGTGCCCGTACAGACCTCGCCAGCAGACACTGCCAACAGACATGCCCGTACTGGCACAGTAACTTGCCAACGTAATATAGTTGGGTGGGAAAACAGGCTTAGTGCCAAGAGGAAACATTTATCTTGTATTTACATGACGGCCGTCGTCCCAAGTGGCGACGACGGGCACCTGAGGGCCGCGTCCAGGGCCTTCTCTCAATAACCAACAAAATGGTATGACTTAATTTTACACAATGGAAAGCATACACAATATATTGTTTTCTTGAAGCCAGAATTCATCAAACATATACGCAACCATTTACGAAACCTGTACATCTTTCCTCATTCATGGCGGTTCTGTTTTACCATTATTAAACAGCTTACAAGCTTCGAACTTAACAACCCAAGGTAATTATTGTTATGAACATCGTAATAGCGCTACGCAGCTCCTAAACTGCTTAATATGTGTAAACAAAGCCGCCATGGGTAACAAAAGATGTACAGGTTTCGTAAATGTTTGCTTAAATGATTGATGAATCCCGGACTATGTAGGCGCCTCATCCTTTCAGAAGTCGTTATTATGACTTTTCCTACAAATAAAGTCTGGTTGGCAGCACCCTGTTCCTTACACCAAGTGCTGCCCACGTGATGGGTACGGGTTCCCACCTCCTGAAACGAGTAGCGTCTTACAAGACCTGAGAAAGTATGCCATTTGCTAAACTATAAACATTACTACGTCGTGGATAATATATAAAGAAACTCAACCTATCCTAACTTAACTCCCTAACCTTACCTAACCAACTTATCCATTCCTAATCTAACGTAACAAAAAAATATATATATATATATATATATATATATATATATATATATATATATATATATATATATATATGAATATATATATATGTCGTACCTAGCAGCCAGAACGCACTTCTCAGCCTACTATGCAAGGCCCGATTTGCCTAATAAGCCAAGTTTTCATGAATTGTTTTTCGACTACCTAACCTAACTTTTTCGACTACCTAACCTAACTTTTTCGGCTACCTAACCTAACCTAACTTTTTCGGCTACCTAACCTAACCTATAAAGATAGGTTAAGTTAGGTAGGGTTGGTTAGGTTCGGTCATATATCTACGTTAATTTTAACTCCAATAAAAAAATTGACCTCATACATAATGAAATGGGTAGCTTTATCATTTCATAAGAAAAAAAATAGAGAAAATATATTAATTCAGGAAAACTTGGCTTATTAGGCAAATCGGGCCTTGCATAGTTGGCTGAGAAGTGCGTTCTGGCTACTAGGTACGACATATATATATATATATATATATATATATATATATATATATTATTAAATATAACCGAAAAAGAAAGATTAATAATTCTAACACGAATTTTCTCAATCTTTCGTACATTTCGTTTCACTGTTGGAGGTAAATCAAAAATCAATTCTCCAAAATTCATTTTTATTTCTAGTCTGACGCGACACGAGCGCGTTTCGTAAAACTTATTACATTTTCAAAGACTTTAGTTCACAAATACACAACTGAATACAAGAGGAGTACAAGAGTTGCAACACTACATCTTGTACAAGAGGAGTGTTGTTAACGCATATGTCGACCGTGCTCTCAGCCACAGCTCAGAATGGAAGCAAGTCGACGAAGAACTCTGTAGGGTAAGGCAGGTCCTAGTCAATAACGGCTTCTCCAATGGTTTCGTCGAAGACATCATAAGAACGAAAGTGAAAAGCCATGCAACCTCTGAAGAGACAACTAACACAACACCTATACCCCCTATTAGACTATTTTACAGGAACTTCTTTTCCACAGCTCATAAAGCGGAGGAAAGGGTCCTGAAAGATATTGTTAATAGAAACGTTATCCCTACAGACAAAAATCAGAGGATACAACTGACGATTTACTATAAAACCAGAAAAACGGCCAGCCTACTCATGAGAAACTCTCCAGACACAAAATAGAACGCTTTAAAAGAGACTAACGTCGTCTATGCCTTCAAATGCCCTCTTGGGGACTGTAAGCTCCAAAAAACCCAGTATATAGGCAAGACAACAACATCTCTTTCTAGGCGTTTAACGATGCATAAGCAACAGGGCTCCATTAAGGAACATATAATCTCTTCCCACAACCAAACCATCGCCAGAGAAATCCTAGTAAACAACACAGAAATCATCGATAGATACAGCGATAGCAGGCGGCTTGACGTTTGCGAGGCACACACAT